TGGGAGATTTCTGCCTTGAATTGAATTTACCAGATTTCTCGGGAACTTACCATTTTCTTTGAAAGGGAACTAATTCAGAGTAGAATTGTTTGCCATTTTTTGCTAAGGATATACCATCTTAAGTCTGTGGGCCACATATGCAAATGAAAAGTGGCAGGGACCCTCAGGATCACATTTCTGTAATATAACCTGAGGCAGTCATGCAAATGTTAGATTGCATCATGAAGGTTAGTCCTAATTTGACCTGATAGTAGAAGGCTCTGTAAAGTGAATTGTGACATTAACTATTACAGCAGCTGGGCACAAAGAGATCATTGATCTTTCACAAGAATCATGGAAATGCAGTGCTTTCCTCAAAGCCTAGGAATCATTTGCATCTGTATTGCAGATATCATTGCTTGTGAACTCCTTGGCCTGCAGATTGGAGGATTCACTGAGAACCACACTTCATTCTGAGATCTTAAATCCCCTGGTTCCATTGGATAAGAAATGTCATTATCCAAGTCCTCAGCCCACCCTTCTTCAATATACATACAGTACTTTCTAAGGTGGCTTCAAATGTGTTATTAACTCAAATAATCTGTATTTTTGACATGGCATGAAATAACTGGTCAACCTGGTTTTAGATGAAATTATATTACCACATGGACTTATTTAATTGTGAACATAATAAGATACGGAAACCTATAACACTAATATTAATTGTCCATTTTTCTTTATCATATCAATTTGTGCTTCTCTTTAGAAAACTACATTTTTTAGGCTTTGGAAATGAGGAGGGCACAAGAGATGAGGGGAAATGAATGATCAAGGTTCAACGTGTTATTAACTTTATCCTCAAGAATAAAAGCAAGGACTGTGAGAAATGTATAAGAATTTAGAAAATTTCTAACTTTGTTGTTAATTACTTGTGATTCCCTCATTTATTTTGCTTGCAGTAGAACCCTTAAAAAGTTAGACATTCATGTGCTCATTTTAGGGAGTACAAGTGAGTTAACAGTTAAACAAAATGCATCCTAGGCAGTTTTTAGAAGATGGAAGGACCCCTCAAAATAGAGTAGGTGGTGTTTTTTTTCAAAGTTAAGGAAAGCAAGCTGAATTCCCAGGGGCATTGCAAGGAATCCCCAGGCTAAAAAGTGCCCCCCTGGAATTAGACCTGTCAGGAATTCATAGATGATTCCTGTTTTGCATAGAAGAATGAACTAGATAACCTCAAAAATTTCTTCCTAATCTAATATGTTTTCCGTTTCATCATGTATAGTAGAAGATGGTAGAAATAGCTACCATAAGAGATTTAAGGATCAGTTCTGTAGTTTGGTTGAGGAGTACAATATAATTGATAATATTCTAAGTTTAAATCACAATTGAAATTTTAGCAACAAGAATTCTTGAAATTAAAGTGGTGGTTTTCTTTTTAGAATTTAAATAGTTTTAATGGTGCAGTTTTACTTAAAATAACATTAAGCACTGATCACATACACATGACACAGAAAAGATCCTATTAGTACCTATTGATTTCCTGATTTATTGGTTTATTTAGTGCTGTCCTAAGGGAGGAACGAAACAATAAAATTAAAGTAGCTGGGAAGCATCAGTATCATATGATTTTGCTATTTCTCTAGCCCTTGTTCTTCAACTGCAAATCTTTGGAAACTGTATTGGGTCCTGGACAATATAAAATACGGATTTGTGCCGAAACCGGTTTGGCTCAGTGGATAGAGCGTCGGCCTGTGTACTGAAAGGTCCCAGGTTCGATTCCGGTCGGGGGCGTGTGCCTGGGCTGCGGGCACATCCCCAGTGGGAGATGTGCAGGAGGAGGCTGATCGATGTTTCTCTCTCATCGATGTTTCTAACTCTCTATCTTTCTCCCTTCCTCTCTGTAAAAAATCAATAAAATATATTTTAAAAAAAATACGGATTTGTATGAAGTGAATCAGCTTACTGAGTGGAATGTCTCTTTCTCCTTGATATGAGATCTTTTCCTATAAGAAACAAGTCTTGAGATGGTATGCTGAATCATCAAGATTTTCACAAATCTGTATCATACTAAAATGTGGGGTGGATGACACAGAAAGTACTTGATATCTCAATCTTACTCAGAGCCTAACAAAAGTTCTGTATGAGGAACAAAATACCTAAATCCGTGAAGTGTCATCTGGGACTAAGTAAAAGGCAAGAATGATTATAGTCAAGTATCTATAACTGAATACTATTAATTCATCAGGTTTTTTTCCTGGACTCCTTTAACCTTTAGAAAAAGGTACAAATAGCAATGAAAAGGTTTAATGAGGAAGGTAGAGTTATCCTTAGATCAGTATATACCAACTCAGACCAATCTCCTCATATTGTACAGCAATTCTATAAATTAAAAATGGAAATTCAAAATTACAATAGCAGTTAATATCTATTGAGCATCTGCTATATGCCAGATTTGATGAAGATTGTTCTATATACATGATCTAATTTTATCTTTTTAACAGTCCTATGAGTAAGGTACTGCTATTAACCTCCTTTTACAGATCATGGCTCTGGCTCTGAATCTCTGTAAGATCCTTATTCATCTACTTCATAAGCTAGAGAAATGAATTAATATATTATTCTGTAAAATTAACATATGCAAAATTACAAAAAATTCCCTGATTAAGCATTATTAATCAGAACCTCCTAATTCCTGAGAATTCCTTTTGATCAAGATTTTACCATCCTGCAGCATAGTACTCAAGTGATGAAGATGCATTTGAAATCTAATTATTTCAAGTAATGTTGATATAATCAGCATCAGAACTTTTAAATTGTGGCATTAATTCTTGATTATCAGCCATCAAGTCTTTACTTTCACTACATGAGTTAACAGAATGAGTCACCGCTCCTGACAATATTGAGTATTAATTCCTTCATTCAACACTCACATGAGGCAGGCATGGTACTGGGCATCAGGGATACAGGTGTGTGTGTGTGTGTACATGTGTGTGTGGAGAGAGAGAAAAAATCTTTTTTTAAATTTACTTAGAATAAGATAATCATAACTTTAAATATGTATATATATTATACAAAGTATTATATGTATATAGTAGGTTTATCTTTGTAACAACCCTATGCAATGTTATAAACCCCCTTTTATACATTATGAAAATTAAGACTAAGGGAAATTACAAGAATTGCCAAAAGCTACTCTACTAGTAAAGGACAGAGCCAGTATTTGAACCCTGATATATCAGGCTTTGAAGCACATCCGGTTTCTACTATACTATACTATTCAGTCTTCCATGGAACTTGTTTCTGTCAGCATGATACTCCAGAAAGAAATACTGAAAAATGTTTGGAGTAGTACACTAATCATATTTGACTCTGGAACTACTTGGGTGAAAGAAATATCTTTATTTGTAAATTATATAAATGTCTAGTGTTCTTTGAAAATAGTTATGATCTGAATGCTTTGTAATACAAAGTTATTGGTGTTCGTTTCTTTATTTCTAGTCATGGTAGAGATTGTATAGGATATAGATGTGATGCAGTGAATAGTTGACTTAAGATGAAAACACAAATTTTCATTATTTCACTTACTCAGATGATATAAAGGAAGAGTATTTGACAAGTCCCAGAAGACATTTATAATGGAGGTGGTCCAAGTGTTATGATTGCTGAAGAAATAGTACTTGTTATGTGGGCTGAAACATTAGAATAGGGATACTTTTTATTAAATACTATAATGTAAAGTCATTTTACTGAAACTTGATTGACCTTTACCTGACTGGATCCCAAGACTGTATGGATATTTCACAACATTGCCTCAAGAATTATTATACAGCTCTGGGTTATAGAAAAATTGATGGTTAAAGAATGAGCCATGGCAGGCCAACCTAATTCCTCTGATAGGATTAGAGAACCAGTGAATAAAAGGCTCAGGAGAGATCCCCTAACATCGGGCTTTAGCAAAGCTTTTGATTCCACATTTCAGGGAGTTTTAAATTGAAGCACTTGAGCATTCAGGCAGAAGAGTAACAAACTATCTCTGCTCATCCCTGGCTGAATCATATAAGACTTAGAGAATAGAAAATGCCTTTGCCATTTTATGTGATATAACAGCTACTAGTAAAGTGACCATGCTTCTGACATCATTTGAAGAGGATGTGATTAACAATCCCCAAACCTGAGTCATAACTCCGCAATACTTCATCTACTAAATAATTCCTCTTTGCAAGGTCTATGTCTTTGTTCCATTTTCTCACTTGCTATGTAATTATGGTTTTCTTTTTTGGAAACCTCTATATCATCATTGTAAGAGGCTTTGACACCAGGATAGTCTAATCAGTGTATCTGCATCAATTCAGCAGCCCTTGTGATGAAAACATGGGAAAATGTCAAAAGATAATCTAAGATATATGTAGCTAAGCTTTGTCAAAGAAAAAGTGAGTCCAACTATAGCCACATTTGAAGAGGATCCTAAAAGTTTAAGGGAGAAGGTAGAAGATAATTGATAGCTTGTGACCAAACATGTTAATTTCCAAGAAACAGGAGGGATCTTACAAATGAGAGAGCCACAGTCTTATAAGAACCTTTTTGTTGTTGATTTTTTTGTTAATCCTCACCGAAGGATATTTTTCCATTGATTTTTAGGGAGATTGGAAGAGAAAGGGAAAGACAGAGAGAAACATCTGTGTGAGAGAAACACATCGATTGGTTGCCTCATTCACGCGCCCTGACCAGGGCTTGGCCTGGCTAGGGAGGAGCCTGCAACCAATGAATCGAACCCAGGACCCTTTGGTCTGCAGGCTGACTATCCACTGAGTCGAATGGGCTAGACCTAAGAACCTTTATTTTAATTTTACTTGTCAATAAGACCTATAAAAATTACAGAGGGCATTTAGTTCCAGGAATTCACTGGTTACTCCTAGACTCTTAAGATATAGAGTTTTCTTCTAGTGACTTATATACTAAAATCTGGAGACATCCCAGTCCTTAATAGAGTCTGGAATTTGGCTTCTTTTTCTCCTTTAGGATTGAACCAGCTGCCCTTTGACCCTGCCAACAACAACGAACCCCTGCAGTTTGCTAGTGCCAGTGGCCCTCTGGTCACAGAAGGCCTCATTGAGAATGGAGGGGAGTCAAGCAAGAAAAGAAAGAGAACAAATGCTCCTTCAGGTAAGCTAGGCGATAATGCACTCTCTTAAGCCAGTGCTATTGATTTAACATTTTCCTAGAGCCTAGTATGTGGCAGGCCTTGTACTAGAATTTGTAGGAACTACAGAAATGAGAAAGAGTCCCCTGCCTTCAAGGAACTCATGGTGAGACGGGGGAAGCAGGAACACATACATAAATAACTCTAATAAAAAATCATCGGTGTGAGATAAATGTGTAAAAAGGGCGGGGTGGGGGAACTATTGGCCTCGTGCAGAAGTGACATTTGTAGCTGGCCCTTGAATGAGTTGGCTTGATACAGGAAGAGATAAGTAAAGAACATTGATTTAGGTAGAAGGAATTGTTTGAGTAAATGGCTTCACTGTACATTTTCTTTATATGTACATGTGGCAGGCTACCCTCACTTTTACTTCTAATGAAGACATTTGCCTCTCTCCACCCTCCCTCTCTTTCCCCCAGTACACACTATGCCTGCATGTGTTTTATGCCCTCATTGCTCTCTTAGAACAGCTCATGAACAGATTTTCCTAAAACCTCTATAATAGCCTCCCCTGCAATCCTTCCTCTCCTTCAGGCTCCATTGGCCTATTTTCATGTTAAATTCTTCAAAATGAATGGGGAAACAATAAGAGAACCAGATCTTAACTGATGAGTTGATATTTTAAAATTTCATCTCTGCTGCTTGACTATTCATTTGAAAACAGTATCCTTATTATATAGAGATTGATCTGAGAATTTGGGATGGGCTCCTTTATGGTATTTCTGTTTTTGTTTTGTTCTGTATTTTTTACCATTAATTTTTTTAATCCTCACCCAACGATATGTTTTTGTTGATTTTAAAGAGAAATATCAACATGAGAGAGAAACATTGATTGGTTGCCTCCTTTTCTTGCCCCAACCAGAGGTCGAACCCGCAACCTAAGTATGTGCCCTGACCGGGAATCTAAACCATGCAGTCATTTAGTACATGGGACAAGGCTCCAACCAACTGAGCCACCCAGCCAGGACTTTTTACTATTATTTTTACATTCAACTTACAACATGAAACATGTTTACAAACATGTAATATCAAATCTGACTCTTAGATTATAGGTCTTTCTACTTATAAATCAAGATTTTTTAAAAAATTATTTTAATTGATTTCTAAGAGACAGGAAGGGAAAGGGAGAGAGAGAAATATCAGTGTGAGAGGAAACCATCAATAGGCTGGCTGTCTCCTGCATGCCCCCTACCAGTGATTGAACCCAAAAACCCAAGCATGTGCCCTGACCAGGAATCAAACCTTTACCACACTTTGGTCTGTGTCTGTGGGTTATGCGTATCCTAATATATAAAAAACCCTGGGTCGTAATTACCAGTAACGACCGAGGCTCAACCAACTGGAAGTTAGTCCACAGCAACCCAGTGCTGACTGCTTCCATTGCAGGCACAGTGCCCCAGACCTGACAGCTGAGGGGACTGCGAAACAGTGCCAGAGGGAGGCCTGAAGAGAGAAACAGGGACTGATCCGTTGTCTCTGTGGCAGCTTTAGATCCTTCACCAGGACTGCTGATCAGCCCGCCTTTCTGATCAGGCCTGGTTGATAAGCCCAGAGATGCTGACTGGCATAGAAACCAACCAATCAGAACCAAATATGGGTGAACTGTGAGGAACCAATGGCTGCCTAGGAGGCGAAGCTTTTGATGCTGACTGGCATAGAAACTGACCAATCAGAACCAAATCTGGGTGAAGTGTGAGGAGCCAATGGCTGCCTAGGAGGCAGAGCCTTTGACTCTGACTGGCATAGAAACTGACCAATCAGAAACAAATCTGGGTCGACTGAGGAGCCAATGGCTGCCTAGGAGGTGGGGCTTTTGATGCTGACTGACTTAGAAACCGACCAATCAGAACCAAATTTTCTGGCAGAGGAGGGTAGTTCGGGGTGAGATCAGGCCGGCAGGGGAAGGCAGTTGGTGGCAACCAGGCAGGCAAGGGCAGGGCCATTAGGGACGGTCGGACATCTCCCAAGGGGTCCCCGATTGGAGAGGGTGCAGACTGGGCTGAGAGAAGCCCCCGCTCCATGCACGAATTTCATGCACCAGGCCACTAGTATGCATATAAGTTTTTTCGTTAATTTCTTCCTGTTCCCCAAAATCTCTTCCCCTCTGAGATCTGTCAGTCTTTCCATGCATCCATGCCTCTGGACCTATTTTGCTCATCAGTTTAATTTGTTCATTAGATTCCACATATAAGTGAGATCATGTAACATTTGTCTTTCTATGACTGGGTTATTTCACTTAGCATAATACTCTCCAGGTCCCTCCATGCTTTCACAAAGGGTAAAATTTCCTTCTTTTTGACAGCTGTGTAGTATTCCATTTTGTAAATGTACCACAGCTTTTTTGTCCATTAGTCTACTGATGGGCAATTGGGCTGTTTCCATATCTTGGGTATTGTAAATAATGCTGCTAAGAACATAGAAGTGCATATATTCTTTCTGATTGGTGTTTCAGGATTCTTAGGATATATTCCTAGAAGTGGGATCACTGGGTCAAATGGCAGTTCCATCATTAATTTTTTGAGGAAACTATACTCTTTTCCATAGTTGCTGGACCTGTCTGCATTCCTGACAACAGTGCATGAGGTTTCCCTTTTTTCCACATCCTCACCAGAACTTGTTGATTTATTGATGGCAGCCATTCTGGCAGGATGTAGTTTTAATTTGCATCTCTGATTATTAGTAACATTGAGCATTCTTTCATATGTCTATTGGCTGTCTGTATGTCCTCTTTGGAGAAGTGTCTATTTAAGTCCTTTGCCCATTTTTTAATTGGATTGTTCATCTTCCTTTTGTTGAATTGTATGAGTCCTTTATATATTTTGGAAATTAACCCCTTATCAGAACTATCATTGGTGAATATGTTCTCCCATATAGTGGATTTCCTTTTCATTTTGTTGGTGGTTTCTTTTGCTGTGCAGAAGCTTTTTTAGTTTGACATAGTCCCATTTGTTTATTTTTGCCTTTTTTTCTCTTGCCCTAGGAGATGTATCAGCAAAAATTATACTATGTGAGATGTCTGATATTTTGCTTCCCCCCCCCTTTCTTCTAGGATTTTCATGGTTTCACGACTTACATTTAAGTTTTTTATTCATTTTAAGCTATTCTTGTGTATGGTATAAGTTAGTGGTCTAGTTTCATTTTTTTTAACATGTACTTGTCCAGTTTTCCCAGCACCATTTTAAAAGAGGCTATCTTTATTGCATTCACTGTATGCTATTTTCTCCTTTGTCAAATATTAATGGACCATAATGGCATCGGTCGATTTCTGGGGTCTCTATTCTGTTCCATTGATCTATATACCTGTTCTTGTGCCAGTACCAAGGTATAAATCAAAATGTTTGTTAAATACAAATTTGGAAAAAAATACAGTAAAATATTAGCTAGCTGGACACCTCAAGAAAAGAATGTTTCTTAGAGAGCTGTATTTTCTGGATCACTGGAAAGTCATAGTGTATAGCCAAAAAACTGGTCTGAGTTCTATTCCTAGGTCTATCTCTGTGGCTTTGGTTTGGTTCCTTAACCTCTGTGAGATTCATTTTTGTCAACTCTAAATTAGAAATGGTACTCAAACCTACTTTTTTATTTAAAAAAGACATCTATGAGTCAGTTTCTATTTTGTTTGTTAGTTTATTTGGTTCATTAGATTCCACATATGAATGTAATTATATGGTACTTGTCTTTCTCTTCACTGGCTTATTTCATTTAGCATAATGCTCTCAGAGGGGAGGGTGTTACTGTGCTTTGTGAAAAAGGTGGAGGGATTAAGAAGAAAAAAAAAAACACCTCATACTCACACAACAGTATGGTGATTACCAGAGGGAAAGGGGGGTGGGTGGAAGTAGAAGAGGATATAGGGGCAATAAATGGTGATGGAAGGAGACTTGATTTGGGTGGTAAACACAATACAGTATTACAAGTGATGTATTATAGAATTGTTAACCTGAAACCTATTTAATTTTATTAACCAATGTTACCCCCAAAATTTAACTTTTAAAAAGTGAAAATAAAAGCTACCTCTTAGCATTGTTAGTTGAATTTAATGAAATTACACAGGAAAAGAGCTTAGTATGATATCTGCACATATTAATCACTGCATAAATGTTGCTTTTATTTTGTTATTATTATATGATAACTAGAGGCCCAGCGTGCGATTGAAATCCCACGAGGAGGTGCCCTGCCTCCTGCCATGAGAGGAGGAACCCCATGGGGGGCCGGACCTGTGCCTGACCTGCATAGTGCTGGCAGGCCTTAGTGTTGTGTCCGCTGGGGTGGGGGCGTGCTCCAAGCTGCACAGTGGCTGCTCTGAGCACTCCCCAGGCCACTGTGTTGTGTCCGCTGTGGTGGGGGCAGGTGCTCCTGTGTGTTGTATCTCTGCTCTGTCCCTCACCCAGCCCAAGCCTCTCCATGTGTCGTGTCTCCACTCTGGCGCAGCCTCTCCGTGGCCGCTGGGGTGGGGGCTGCATGCAGTTCCCTCCTGCCATCTGCATGTGCAGCTCCTCCTGAGTGGTTGTGACACTCAGCTAATTAGCATATTCCCTGTTTATATATACAGTGCGGCCTTGACTTATGAGTTTAATTCATTCCGAGACAGAGCTTCTTAAGGAGCTCGTTAACTCAAATTACTCTATCAACTCAATGCAAAAAATCGGCCGAGAGACAGCTGGTATCTCAAAAAACTCATTAGTTGGGACACTCATAACTGGCACCAGATTTCCTCCGGCACCCGGGACCCAGGCCTCCTTCGCTCCAGCCGGAGCCTTCAGTCTTTGCTGCTCCTGCTCCACCGCTTTGTGCCTATGTATGCAAATTAACCGCCATCTTTGTTGGGTTAATTTGCATACTCTCCTGATTGGCTGGTGAGTGTAGCTGAGGGATGGTCAATTTACATGTTTGTCTATTTTTAGTTAAGATATAGATATTATGAACTTCATCTTTTTAAACATCAGCACATTTAACATTTCCA